AATGCCCCTTACCCATTTAGCCCATCCCCCCTCCCACAACCCCTCCAGTAACCCTCTGTTTGTTCCCCATATTTAGGAGTGTCTTCTGTTTTTGTCCCCCTCCGTTTTTATATTATTTTTGCTTCCCTTTCCTTATGTTCATCTTTTTTGTATCTTAAAATCCTCATATGAGTGAAGTCATATGATATTTGTCTTTGAATTTTAAGCAGGCTCCATACCAAGTGTGGATGGAGCCCAATACTGAGCTCGATCCCATGACCCTGGGATTATGACCTGAGCCTAAATCAAGAGTTGGATGCTCAAACTACTGAGGCACCCAGTTGCCCCTAACACTCCATCGTAAGTCAAAAGCCCTGTCAAGGGGTGCCTGGGTGGCCCAGTCGGTTAAGCAACCAACTTCGGATCAGGTCATGATCTCACAGTTCATGGTTCTTGCCCCGTGTCAGGTTCTGTGTTGACAGCTTGGAGCCTGGAGCCTGCTTCTGATTCTGTGTCTCCCTCTCTTTCTGTCCTTCCCCCACTCGCATTCTGTCTCTCTCTCTGTGTCAAAAATAAACATTAAAAAAAATTTTTAAATCCCTGTCAAATGTTTTCATGGAGAAGGTTCTTTGCACAGTAATTCCAAGCATATAAAGACATGTACCCAAAGACACCATGATTCTTAACTAGTACTTTTTGTCCACTTTATAACTGTGATTGACTCCCCCTTACATCAAATTCAAGGACAGTGTGGATGCATGGCAAAGAAGAGCTAGGTTCTACTAACAGATGTGTAAAGAAAGTCAAAACCAAGGAAAGAATTCTCCACATTAGCTCAAAGTTTAGTTGATTATTAATTTCCTTATTACCCAGAAAGTACAGGTTACATCTGTCCCTATCCAACTTCTTAATGTAAGCTATACAGTCAAAATAGCCGATCTTCAGGAGAATGCCAAGCATATGCTATTTCATAATACAGAAGGTTATCTTTTCACAGGGAATACTTTTGTAAACAAATACTTTTTTGAAAATGACAGAGTCAAGACCTCAGTTTTATATTTCATATCTGAAACCATACCCTAGTAGAAATGTGGGGTTTAGCCTTTTCCATGAAAACAACCATGCCAGATTTTCTAAAAGTTAAACATGATGGTTGTAGAGGAAAACAATATTTATCATGTAAAAGATTTATATTTAGTCAAAGGCACAAACTGAAACCAAGACTATGAAAGGTGACTATAATATTGACAAGTCATATCAAACTGAAAAATACCAACTAAAGCTAATAAAGATGAATTGCTTTAAATTCCTAAGGAAAGTACAGAATTCCAACACCATTATTAGAACCTTTCAAACAGTAGGGGCAAATATAAAAACATCAATATAAACACCTTAATTTGGAGGCAAAGAAATGCAAAGTGTAACATAATATTGGTACTGCTTTTAGTCTTTAGTGCCTCAGGTTAGAGATGGATCAGGCCATCCGACAACTCCAATGATGAGTACCATCCAACTGCTGGCCAGAATTAAATTATACAGTGTGACTCTCCATCAGCAAAACAGAGATTACAGAACATACAACTTGATACAAGTTGTACAATAATTTAAACTTGTCTGGGAAATGGCCAGTTCAGAAGGGTCAATTTTCTGTCACACTATATCAGTAAGCAAATTCAGAGGGATCATTTTGTAACACTACATAAAATAGCAAATTCACAGCACCTTTCAAAAGCCCCACCTTGTAGGGCACCTGGGTGGCTCAGTCGGTTAAGCATCTGACTCTTGACTTAGGCTCAGGTCATGATGTCACAGTCAGTGAGATCAAACTCTAGGGCAGGCTTTGGAGCCTGCTTAAGATTCTCTCTCCCCGGGCACCTGGGTGGTTCAGTCGGTTAAGTGTCCAACTTCAGCTCAGGTCCTGATCTCACGGCTCGTGGGTTCGAGCCCCACATTAGGCTCTGTGCGGACAGCTCAGAACAGCTCAGAGCCTGGAGCCTGCTTTGGATTCTGTGTCTCCCTCTCTCTGCCCACCACTACCCCTCAACTTGCATTCTGTCTCTCAAAAATGAATAAACATTAAAAAAAATATTCTCTCTCCCCCTTCCCCTCCCTTGCTCATATTTTCTCTCTCTAAAAATAAATAAAAGGCCCCAAGGCCCCACATTGAGCAAAATAAGAGTCAAGAGGAACACAGCTTTGCTTCATTTACAATTTACTAGCTTTTCCAGTGTTTCACAGTGATACAGGGGTTTCAATGATCTAACATGAATGGGCCAAAAGGTGGACCTATAGTGAACAAATGTCTTGATTGAATCAGGCTATTTATATAATTTTTCAGTGATCTAACATGAATGGGCCAGAAGGTGGACCTATATTGAATAAATGTCTTGACTGAATCAGGCTATTGATGTAATTTTTTGGTCTATTGGTAAGAAGTGTTAAGCTGTCTTCCATCCAGGCAATATCATAGTTCACAGGGGGGGATGTAAATGTCCTAAAATTAAAGAAAAAAAGTTAATTTACTTATAACCCAAATTTCAATATCTATATTCACTTGCACACATTAGCATCTACTCTGCTAATGAAGACTTTCATGTGTTCCCAGTCAGTGGCTCAATTAAAATGTGAAGGATACCTTAAGGGATTAATTCAGCCAGCAAGAGTTTTCACGGTTTACCATTCAAATACTGGAAGTATTGAAACACATATTTCCTCCAAATCGGGTTCCAAGGTAGGCTAAATCCGTTTATGGCTCTAAGAATAGTTCACCAGGGGAGTGTGGTAAATGAAAACTCAGTAAAAGACCAGGGAAAATGCCAATATTGGGTCAAGAGCAGAGTGTACTTCCCAGGGAACCTGACAAGTAAGGTCACTACTAGGATTCTCCATTTTTTTTCCATGTAGGTACAAATTTGTCAGAAAGGGGACCACTTAGGACCTTTAGACTGATGTGTAGGTAAAACCCCGAAAGGCTCTTCTGCCCTTTGTGGCCATGCCTTGTATTTTAGAGACCTGACCTACCTATGCAGGGCTAACACAGTACCAACAAGACTTGAATGCACCACTCAGCAAGACCTTGGCAAACTCAGTCCATCCATCACATAAACAGGCTGAAGGAAACACCAAGACAGAGTTGAGGACTAAAATGAACATACCTTAAAATTGGAGAGGAGTCAGCCCATGATTTGCTGATTACACTATCTCATACTGGTTATTTGTTATGGCTCGAGAGAGGCAGTAGGCTAGAAAGATTCCAATCAGCTAAAAACAAAATACAAAAACAAACACACACACACACACACACACACACACACACACACACACACACACACACAAAAGAGCTTAAAGACCTCAGGATATAGGTTTATTTTCCTTTCACGTCTAATTCACTAATAATTTCCTGAAGTTTTTCTCGACAGCTGTGTTTGATACTCAGCAGCACCTAAATAACATTCAAAGAATATAAAGGAAGTTTTACCACTACTGTGACCTGGAATTTCACAACAGTCACTGACAAAAGTCCTAAATGTCATTAAGTTTTGGGGAAACTTACCAGATAACTTATCAGCTATCAGAACAAAAAGGATTTGGCTTAGCATAAGCATCTCATCACATAAAATCTCCATCTGTGAAGGCTGTTCCATAAGCAAACCACTAGCCACAGGTGGCTTTTGAGCACTTCAAATGGGGCTAGATTGAGGCATTCAATTTTTTATTTCATTTAATTAGAACCTTTCAAACGTGCTAGTGGCTATTCTATTAGTACAGATTGAGATACAGCTATATCTGCTATTTTAGAAATGCATTAAGGTTAGACTTCCAAAACCAATCACATAGGTCAAAATGAAGTGTATCAATTCTTTCAGTTTTATCTCCACGATGTTTAATATAGGAAAACCTCCCAACCCCTAAAAAAAATTGTTTAGAGCCACAACACAAAATTTTCATGTCACAGTGAGAAGTAGCACAACTCAGAAAATACAATTTGACCCACAACATAGCACATACCCAACGTAACAGGCACATATTCAAAACAAAGCTACTGTTTTCTTTACTGGGTCTATTTAAGACCCAAACGCAAATGATTGACTCCATATGTGTCTTATATAAAATAAAAGTCATGCAATACTGTGATGAGAAGCTGACACTTTGTGAAAATGTGACTTCTCTGGAAGTGCCCTGAATCCTTCACAGTGGAAATATTCTAGCTTACATCTAACAAGAGTGACAAAACACTCCTAACTACAAGGACTTACCTGGAAGCAAGCAACTCCAAAGGAAATTCCTGCAACCACTCCCATTTCTGACTCTATAATGGTCATCACCTTTATAAAACAACCCTAATGGGAGTGGAAAATAAAATATTAAGTACAGCACAAGCAACAAGGAACACTTCTGCCAAAACAGGAGCTTTAGCTACCACTGCCTTTGTCATTGTATTAAAATTTACTCTTTTATATAACAAATCTTATCTCCTCTCAGGCACAATGTTCTCGACAGAAGTTTGAAGAGTAGAAGTTCCACCTCTTGGATTATGCATTTAAAAGTGTTATTTGCTCATTGTGTGAACTCAAGTGAAATTGTCTGAGCTTCAGTTTCCTCATTTACTCAATGAGACTAATACTTGCCCTGCCTATTTCTGATTATATTTATTGTGACTAAAAATTAAAAATGGAGTCAACTCTGTATTCAGTTAATATTTTCAAATAAAACAATTTTAAAGGCTCCTTACTTCATTGTTTACTTTATCAGCATCTCTCTGTGGAGAACAATTTTCAAGTTTGCAGCAACTCTTGGGAAATCCTTTTTCTAAGTAATAATTAGTATCCTTCCAATCTCTATAGTCGGTGACACCACAACAATGCAACTGAAAAAAAAAAAACACATTTATAGTTTACATCATTGTAGTCAAACATTTAACCTATCATCTTAGACTGCAATTTGTCCTCAAAACAATATTATACTCAATGATCCCTATCCTAATATTTTTAAGTGGCTGTCCTCAATCAGCATTGTAATTCAACAGATTAGCACCTTTTTTTCCCCTAATAACAAGTGTAACATTTTTGCACTGGACTCACTTTCCTGCTCTAGTTGGTACTAACAGTACTTGGTCTGTGATGTGAAGAGTGAAGAGGTGTACATGTGAGGAGAATGATTAGGAGAAAATGGAGATATGTGACTTAGTATCATCCCACACTTCTTTCCAGGGACCTATCTTTCCAGGGACATATTTTCTCCTGATCAAAGATTGTAATGAGAATATCGTACAAGTGGACAACACCTAGTAGCCAGGGGCCTATTTCTCTTCTCTAAGGAGATAAGGAATGTGTTCCCCACTTGAGAAGCCACCACCTATGACCACTTACCGTATTTTGAATCTTGTCTACTGCATCGCTTCTATAATCTCCCGTAGAGTTATACTGCTTTATAGTTTTCTCATAATTATTCTTAAAACTGTTCTTAATCTACAGCAAAGAAATACAATGCTAGTAAATAAAAATTCTACAAAGTCTCTTAGGTTTCTATGTCAAATAAAAAATCCCCATATCTGACCAATGATCATATCTTTGACGATAACAACATGTATGGTAATTAATTTCTACGGTGCAATCCTGTCCTCTATGGGATATAGTCTAGTTGAGAGGATTACTAAGCAAAACATTACAATAAAAGATGATAAACACTCAAGTTCAAAGTGCTATGGGAGCATTTATTCAAGTGGCAGCTCTGTACTCCTGTATCCCTCCCCAAGTTTTTCTCTACTTTAAGTACAAATTTGATGCCTGTAAAATTTTTAAGCTACAAAACCTTACTTTGGGAGACTGTACTACCACACTTTGTAAAACACTCTCATTGAAGAACCTTCACTACTCGCCAAATGATTCCCCAACCCCAGGTTTAACAGTGGAACTCTGATTTCTAATTCAATATTAAAGTTTTGATGATTTGCACTAAGTATATCCAATCTGTTAGAAATATGTGGCATAATGGGGCACGTGGGT